GTTCTTTCTAGATAGAAAGGTTAGAAGAACTGTAGCAGGACTCACCCTTCTTTTGGCTTTTCGCAGGCACCTTGGAGCGACAGGGTCGCTTGGCCGAAAGATGTTTTACAGGTTCCGATAATCTCTTTTGAGGGATTTTTTGAACTACTGCCTCCGGCTTAGGTGGTGGTGCTTTTTGTACGTTAGTCTCGCTGTACGAAGGCGGGTTCCATGGGATGTTGACGAGCCAATCATGAAGTCTATTGGAATTTAAAAAGGAGCTTACTGCTTGTGTTTGGCGAGGTCTGTGTCGAGAGCCGAGTCAAAATTAGCTAAAGTCGTAGCTGACTGAGGACGGTAATGCAGCGAAAAACAAAGCACCTACCAACTTGTTCGCTTTGTGCAATGAATAGACAAATTTATTTGGAGTGTGTATGAAGGTAACGGAAGATGGCAATGCTTTAGCAGTTGCTAAACTAACTACCCACTCCTAAAAGCAATCATTTACTAAGGACGCAAAGGATAACAGACAAACCATTGGGCCGCCTTTTTTCCGTGAGAGGCCAGAAAAGCAGAAAGTCCGATTTAGGTTTTTTTCGGACTGGGAATAAAGTCCTAAATTTCTGAAGAACATTTAATTGAATGTTTAAAAATAATTACTTTTTGGATTGCTCCGAGTCCCATCCAAGAGAAACACATAAAGATTTGTAGGTTACCTTTGAATCAAAGTGTTTAACATAAAAGAAGGTAGATTCTTACGATGCCAGTTGAGACTTCCAATTGTGAGCGAATCGAGTCCTTTACTTTGGTATCCATGTCTAAAACTATAAAGAGGTAGTTTATCACTTTGGAGATGATTCAAAAGGTGCTGATCATGCAGCCAAACGCCCGTATGAATGCCAATCAAGATAAATATAGAGGAGAGCCTGAGCAAAATATAAAATTTTGAATATGGTACTGAAGCCATACGTAAATTTCTAATGAATCGAGTCACAGAGCAAATCGATGTCAGTAGACGAAATTTTTAAAAAAAGAGATGTGCACTTAGGGGGTCGTATTTGTGCTACGGCGTATCGAGTCGTGATTTTAACCGCTTACCTACAGAGACCGGAGCCATTTGCACAGCCTTCATTTTAGGGCGTATTTTGCTTGATACATAGATTGCTAATGCCACTTGCGGGTACGAATTTAACCTTCACGATAACTGGCCACCCCGATCATTTCGCATTTGTCAAGTCGATTTGCAAAACCGGATGGGACAGGCAAGCTTACATGACGGTTTCCTGGAAATCCAGGCTTTTTACACCTGCGTCGATATGTAATCGTATTTTGGACTCACGGATTAAACGGTGTCGTAATCGGAGATGTGTCCAGTTTGTGTTGCAGTAGTTATCACCACAGACATCGGGTCTAACCTTAGCACGGTCAACTGATGCTCATGCATTTGTACGTGCACTTGCAGCCGTCAGCCGGTTTTACCGACGTAAGCGTACTTTATGCAGCTACATTGGAGTCGGTAAAAAAATGGCCGACTCCACCTAATAGAGAACTTGGCTGGCAGACTGCTGACTCAGAACGGCTACTACTCAGTGAGGGATGTGGCAACAGTCCCTAAGACCCCTTTCATAGATGAAATGCTACTGCGTAATGCCGGTTGACAGTACGGTTTCACTCAGCGCATACTCGTGGGTGGCTCTTGGTTCCCGAAGGATCTTAATACCGTGCCGCTTAGCGACAAGATTCTATTCATCGATGCAACATATATTTGCAGAGGGTGGCTGATGTAACTACGTACCTGGTATATTGGCTGGTTGCTAGTGGACTGTGATGGCCAGCTGGCTTGTCCAGTTGGGGCAGGCGATCCTAGTTGAGAACTTAAGTCGACAGTCGTGAACTGTATATGGAGTGTGAGCTAAAGCAGTCGTTATTTATAGTAATCAGTTTTTTCTGTCCAGTAAAGACGAAGGTCGCCGCTGGCGCAGTCGAAGATTTGCGTTTGCCCTCCTCCTCTATCGATATTTTGGGGAATGGGCTCAGCTATAAGTCCGGAAAATGGTGAACCTATCATTGCACACTTGGGTTGCTCATGCACGATTCCTCCATGAATGTCTTGAGACGGTGTTTGAGTTGTGGGTTTATCATCGTTCTTATTGAAATTTCGACGCAGCCGACCACGGAGTTTTTCGACGTGTGGCGTGTACGTGAAGAGTTAATCGATGTCAAATGACACCATATTCTCGTTGGGTTTATCGGACTCCATCTTAAACAGGAGCTACGCTGCCAAATGGACCGCCATTCGAATTTGCTTTAGGGAACCGTGGTTTTTGGAATAACTTGTCTGCGATCCTATATATGAAGATGCCCTAGCGTGAGACGAGTAACTGAAAGACTCAATTGATTTGTGTATTTTGGGAGATCATCGAATCGTATGATAGGTGCTTCTATTTGCTACGTCATACATCGGTCATTTGCTATAATACGTATATTTCTTGTCGCCTTCGCGAGTAGCAACTACAGAGTCGTCCGTCACTGTTTTCACGCTGGATCCAAAGGAGTTCAATCGTCACCTGGCTATCATCGTCATTGTTGAGGCTTTACCGCTGGTCTTTAAGCCCAAGCTCCTCAGCATCCGTTTAGATGCGCTCTTCACGTTCGCGGACCATGCGAAGGAGGTCACAAGCAAAGTGAGCCGGTGCACCAAGGTCCTCAAGGCTCACGCGGGCACATCCTGGGGCTGCTCGAAAGAGATGCTGGCGACCACATTCAAG